ATTTGATTGCACAAGAGTGAAAACAGTTTCTACTTCTCTTAAAAATGATGAGAGAGCATAAGCATCGTCGCCTCTAAACTCGTGGATTCTCTGAGCGTCTTTTAGAACATCATTGGTAGACAGCATTTTTTTATTTGATTTTTGTTTAATTAGAGATGAGAGTGATATTTATTTGCGGCTGGTTCGCTCTTCTGTAATTCTTTCTTTTCTTTATAATATTTTTTTTTGTTTATTATTTTTTCTTTGTTGTTATGATTGTTACTATGCCAAATTTTTGCAAGTTTCTTTTCTTTACATATTTTTTTTATTTTTGCTTTGCTTTGCTTTGCTAAGACTGTTACTATGCCATTTTTTAAAGTTTTTATTGGTTACATAATCATTTGATTTGATGATGAAATTTTATCAAGTTTTTAAGGTTTTAGGAAATTTAAAATTAAATTTTAGACTTTAAATATTAATAAGAATAGGTTATTTTATTTTCGGTGTAGTAGTTTGTACTTTTGTACACTTTTTCACTTAGTTAATAAAAATTAGGTATACACATACCTTTTGATATTTAAATGATTTTCTTTAAATTTGGTTTAGTTTTTGAATTGCAAGAAGTGCCCTTCAATTATTTTTTTTTTTTTCAAAACTTCAGTTTAAAAAATGGTTCGACAAACGACTGCGCCAGTTAAGTAATTTAAATAAAACAATTTATGGTTTTTTCAATTTTAAATTATATTTGTATTTGATCCGGTTTACAACCTTGTATTCCGACAGTCACAATTAAACTAAACTTAAAACTAGAATACATAATTTTATAACTTTGTTCTAAAACTAAGAATGAAAAGAAATAACGGTACGTTGATAAAAATATGGAAAGAAGATGTTATAATAAAAATTAAGACTAAAACTAGGTAAAAAGAAAGTAGGTAATGATAATCAAAAATAAGAGAAAACAAAGAGAAGAATATTTTACATTGGTTTGATACAAATATTTCGTATCATAACTTATGCACTCCACAAGACTGATATTTAACATCAGATATCAGATACAGCCTAGCAATTCATACATCAAATGTTATCAAGTTCGGTTCAAATTTCGATATAGCTCCCATGTATATCTTCATCTTCCGATTTTAGGTTTCTTGTGCACCAAATGGCTAATATCAGTCCAAATGGTGTGAATTTTGGCACTTCCGACCGAATTTAGTATAGAAATAAATACTTTTAATTTGGTGGAAATCGGTTCCGATATAGCTATATCTCCCATATATATGTTTCTTCCGATTTGGTGTGTAAGTCCCTCACATTCGTAATATACGCCCCACAAAAATGATATTTGGTACCCGATATATGATTCAGCCCAGCAATACATGATTCAAATTTTATCAAGATCAGATAAGATTTGGATATAGCTTCCCTATATATCTTCGTCCGATTTAAGGTTTCTTCTGCACCAAATGGCTAGTTTCAGCCCAAATGAGTGAAAGTTGCACTTCCTAGCGAATTAATTCTAGTTTCATTTAAAACTTGATTGAAATCGGTTCAGATATAGCTCTAGCTCCATACATACGTTTCATCCGATTTGGTGTTTAAATCTCCAACTTTCGGAATATGCACTCTACCATAATCATATTTTGTTTCATATATCTCATAGAGTTCAATATAAACCTTTCTTTTACGAGAGCTTTACTAAATATGCATAGTGGTGTAGGGTATCATATAGTCGGCCCCGTCCGACTTTTGAGCTTTCCTTACTGGTTAGAACTAGAATTCCGAAATTTTATATATAGCTTTGGACGAAGATTCCAAAGTTTCGATTAAAACATTTTACGATTTCGGTACTTTTAAGAAACCAATCTGCAATAAATGGGAACGAGAACAGCTAGAATTCTTGAATTTATAATAAAAACGGTTGGTTAAAACTCTATGAAGGCCATATTAAACCTGGGGCTTATATTGAATCGATTTTTGAAAGAAGGTATTTTTCCATTCAAAAATATAATAATTAAACCACAATCAATTTTGTTTGGAAATCCCAAAATTAGGTTCTTGTTCTGGTGATTTGGGAAAGTTCCCTAACGTTCTAAAATTCAAAATGAAAAATTCGGTTGGAGGCTTTAAGTAGTTTAAATCAACCAATAGTAATGTCCATATTAATACTCAATATCGATTCTATTGGAAGCACCTGTAATTATTTTTTAAGAAACAAGTAAAATATAGTTTTCTAACTATCATTACTTGCTGGCCTTCAGCTCAAGCTAAGATATGCACCATTTCCAAAAGTATGTCTGGCAATTTTGTTGGATATCGCTTCGGAATTAGATATAGGTCCTACATATATTTTCGTCCGATATCGCCATATGTGTAATATTCGGCCAAATAGAATGGATTTCACCACATCCGATCGAATTCATTTTCGAAGCGAATACTTCAAATTTTCTGAAAATCGTTTCAGATATACCTATATCTCCCATACGTACGTTTCATCCGATTTCGGGTTTAAGTACCATACACAACAGTGATATTTGCATTTTTCTTTCTCTGAAAAAATGTACAACGAATTCGGAAAATTCGTTAAATTTGGTTTGTTTAGAAACTCAAAATTAAATTTAATCTAGGATATACCAATATCTGTTTTGAAGATGGTAGAGATTGGACAATTTCTTCTGATACCTCTCCCACAAAGGACCAAGGTTTTGAATAACCAAAATAATCATAAAATCCAAAAAAAAAAAAAAAAAAAAAAAAAAAAAAACATCCGGTTTTTATCATATTACACACATCCTATTATATCTACTAACACAAGATTTGATGTGAATATGGAATATATCGGTTGTCTCCTTCAGGTACTTTCCACACAAAGGGTCAACATTTTGAATATCCGTGAAGTTCATAAAACACGAAATTAACATCCGATTCCATTCAAACTTGGTACATCTCAATATTTCCAAAAACACAAGATATGCTAAGAATATGGTACAGATAGGGCCATTCCTTCTGGTACCTCCCACACAAAGGGTCAAAGTTTTGAATAACTAAAACGATTATTAAATCCGAAAAAAGGCATCCAGTTCTCTCGGTTTTTATCATATTACACACATCCTATTATATCTACTAACACAAGATTTGATGTGAATATGGAATATATCGGTTGTCTCCTTCAGGTACTTTCCACACAAAGGGTCAACATTTTGAATATCCGTGAAGTTCATAAAACACGAAATTAACATCCGATTCCATTCAAACTTGGTACATCTCAATATTTCCAAAAACACAAGATATGCTAAGAATATTGTACAGATAGGGCCATTCCTTCTGGTACCTCCCACACAAAGGGTCAAAGTTTTGAATAACTAAAACGATTATTAAATCCGAAAAAAGGCATCCAGTTCTCTTCTAATATCACACATCAAATAAAAAACAAGTTAAAAGCTGTAAGTTCGGCCGGGCCGAACTTTGAATACCCTCCATAATTTGGAACGAGTTTGGCGATTTTCAAAAAAAAAAAAAAAAAAATAAAACCCGTTAAAAATGCTGTTAAAATCTTAAAAATACCGAATGGAGCCATTATATTGGGGTCTATATGACGACGGGGATCTGCATAGACAACTTCTGTCATAAGCCGTTAAAAAATTCAAATGCGAAAAAAATTCGGTGCAATACGAAGACGTGGACCTGCACAGCCAATTTTTGTCATAGGCTGTAGTATCCATTACGAACTCCAAATGCCAAATTTGAAAAAATGCCGGTGAATAATGTCGCTTAAATCACCAAATACGGAAATTTGCTATACCAAAACGTGGACCTACATGGCCCATTTTCAATACCAAAAAGTGTGAAGACATAACATATATTTGAGTAAAATTTTATCAACCTGCTTCATTTCGTTCGGAAGCTAGAGTGATTTTCACAGACGGACGGACGTTGCCAAATCGACATAGAATTTTATGCTGATCAAGAATATATATACTTTGTGGTGTCTAAAATGTATATTTCGAGGTGTTACAAACGGGATGACAAACTTAATATACCCTCCATACTATGGTGGAGGGTATAAAAATCAAACTCTCAAAGCGGATAATATTCCATATTATCTACTACTAAGTACCTATCATCTAAACATCCACAAAAAAATACAAACCTAGATATTTTTTCACAAAGCAAGAATATCCTTTCATTTTCTTAAAATATTTTATATCTTGCTTGCTTTAAATAAATAATTTATTTGTTCATATGTTTGCATATAAAATTCATACATAAATTTGTGTGGTTTACGAACTGGGCAAACAAACACATGATTCCCACCAAGAAACAAAGAAAAAAACATAACCAAGAAAACCGAAAAACATGCGGGCATAATGTAAGGAAGGAAATAATCAGGAAAAGGTTATGAGGTCATCAAGGATTTCGATTTATGTTCCCAGTTGTTTATGTTTCCTATTATTGATGTGCAGATGGCAGCATGGCTAGTAGAGGGAAAGGGGGAGCTTGTGTTTTTAAGTCATATTTTCCCACATGAGTGCGTGTGTGTGTGTGTGTGTGTGTTGGCTCGTGTGTTGCCATTTGCTGATGGATATTTGATAAATCTACCTTTTTTCGTTTCTCTTTAATATTCAGCCTCAAGCATTTCCATTTTTTGTTGTTCTTGCTCTTTCCTTATATCCTTCTTGCGGTTGCTGAGGTCTGTTTGGCTGGAGTGAAAAAATTGAATATTTATTAAGAGGAAATTTATGACAAGGATCTGCTTATTTGAATAATGAAATCAATGGAGAAATGAAAACAAATACCCAAAATCCGTAGATACCATTCGACGATATGCGTAGCCACCATACATATGTGTCCCCATAAACAATTTTATTTTGGAACAACGCCATATAGTATTATAACCCACTTTTTTCTGCCTTCGGTTTTGTTTTTGTCCTTCTTTATTTGCTTTCAATTTCCTTAACCTTTTTTGAATGGTGTTTTTTTAACATTTCTTTTTATCCATGTCCTTTTCCTCTTCTTTACAGACACCGGAGAACTGTAAAACGGACAAGGACTGCACAGCCATGATGGTCTCCTGGGAGGGAGAGGCTGAAATCCAATCAGGCGATATATTAATTGTTGAAATAAACGATGCCCTCTTAAATCCGAAGGAGGTAAATCTAACAACCAGGTAAGTTGGACTAGTCAAGGACATTCGATTATCCTTGGGAGAGTTATTTGAGTAAAGTCGAGAGGTAGAAAGAGAGATAGAGAGTTTGCTCATTTTACCCACTATTTGTCTTCTAAGTTTTTGTTTTTGTTGTCGTCTTTGTGAAAATAATGAAAATTTTAAAGAAACGGCATTTATCTGAGTCTTCTTTTTCTTGAGTTTTGCAAGTTTCTTAAGGCTATTGTATTCTTTGCGTGGAAAGCTATGACATTTCTCTGCCTTACTTATCGCATTACTCGCTTCATTAAATAATAAAAGATAGTGGACGGATTTGCTTGGAAATTTAATGACCCTGGGAAAGTTGTGTCGGAATTCGAACAAAATTAAATGCTGGAAACAAACTTTAATTACAAACTCAAGAAGAGAACGAAAACAGGAGATGATTTTGATATCAAATTAAAAAGTTCTTTATACAAGTTTATGGCCCTTGACAAAATATTCTTTAAAAAATCCACGTTTATTGTTGGGATGGTCCTTGCAAAAATATTCTTTAAAAAATCCACGTTTTTTAGTCTTTTGGTCCTTGAAAAAATATTCTTTAAAAAATCCACGTTTATTGTTGGGATGGTCCTTGCAAAAATATTCTTTAAAAAATCCACGTTTTTTAGTCTTTTGGTCCTTGAAAAAATATTCTTTAAAAAATCCACGTTTATTAGTCTTTTGGTCCTTGAAAAAATATTCTTTAAAAAATCCACGTTTATTAGTCTTTTGGTCCTTGAAAAAATATTCTTTAAAAAATCCACGTTTATTAGTCTTTTGGTCCTTGAAAAAATATTCTTTAAAAAATCCACGTTTATTAGTCTTTTGGTCCTTGAAAAAATATTCTTTAAAAAATCCACGTTTATTAGTCTTTTGGTCCTTGAAAAAATATTCTTTAAAAAATCCACGTTTATTAGTCTTTTGGTCCTTGAAAAAATATTCTTTAAAAAATCCACGTTTATTTGTCTGATGGTCCTTGAAAAAATATTCTTTAAAAAATCCACGTTTATTTGTCTGATGGTCCTTGAAAAAATATTCTTTAAAAAATCCACGTTTATTAGTCTTTTGGTCCTTGAAAAAATATTCTTTAAAAAATCCACGTTTATTAGTCTTTTGGTCCTTGAAAAAATATTCTTTAAAAAATCCAAGTTTATTAGTCTTTTGGTCCTTGAAAAAATATTCTTTAAAAAATCCACGTTTATTAGTCTTTTGGTCCTTGAAAAAATATTCTTTAAAAAATCCACGTTTATTAGTCTTTTGGTCCTTGAAAAAATATTCTTTAAAAAATCCACGTTTATTAGTCTTTTGGTCCTTGAAAAAATATTCTTTAAAAAATCCACGTTTATTAGTCTTTTGGTCCTTGAAAAAATATTCTTTAAAAAATCCACGTTTATTAGTCTTTTGGTCCTTGAAAAAATATTCTTTAAAAAATCCACGTTTATTAGTCTTTTGGTCCTTGAAAAAATATTCTTTAAAAAATCCACGTTTATTAGTCTTTTGGTCCTTGAAAAAATATTCTTTAAAAAATCCACGTTTATTAGTCTTTTGGTCCTTGAAAAAATATTCTTTAAAAAATCCACGTTTATTAGTCTTTTGGTCCTTGAAAAAATATTCTTTAAAAATCCACGTTTATTAGTCTTTTGGTCCTTGAAAAAATATTCTTTAAAAAATCCACGTTTATTTGTCTGATGGTCCTTGAAAAAATATTCTTTAAAAAATCCACGTTTATTAGTCTTTTGGTCCTTGAAAAAATATTCTTTAAAAAATCCACGTTTATTAGTCTTTTGGTCCTTGAAAAAATATTCTTTAAAAAATCCACGTTTATTAGTCTTTTGGTCCTTGAAAAAATATTCTTTAAAAAATCCACGTTTATTAGTCTTTTGGTCCTTGAAAAAATATTCTTTAAAAAATCCACGTTTATTAGTCTTTTGGTCCTTGAAAAAATATTCTTTAAAAAATCCACGTTTATTAGTCTTTTGGTCCTTGAAAAAATATTCTTTAAAAAATCCACGTTTATTAGTCTTTTGGTCCTTGAAAAAATATTCTTTAAAAAATCCACGTTTATTAGTCTTTTGGTCCTTGAAAAAATATTCTTTAAAAAATCCACGTTTATTAGTCTTTTGGTCCTTGAAAAAATATTCTTTAAAAAATCCACGTTTATTAGTCTTTTGGTCCTTGAAAAAATATTCTTTAAAAAATCCACGTTTATTAGTCTTTTGGTCCTTGAAAAAATATTCTTTAAAAAATCCACGTTTATTAGTCTTTTGGTCCTTGAAAAAATATTCTTTAAAAAATCCACGTTTATTAGTCTTTTGGTCCTTGAAAAAATATTCTTTAAAAAATCCACGTTTATTAGTTTTTTTTTGGTCCTTGAAAAAATATTCTTCAAAAAATCCACGTTTATTAGTCTTTTGGTCCTTGAAAAAATATTCTTTAAAAAATCGACGTTTATTGGCCTTTTGGTCCTTGAAAAAATATTTTTAAAAAAATCAACTTTTATTGGTCTTTTGGTCCAATAAAAGTTGAAAAAATATTTTTAAAAAAATCAACTTTTATTGGTCTTTTGGTCCTTGAAAAAATATTTTTTAAAAAATCAACGTTTATTGGTCTTTTGGTCCTTGAAAACATACTTTTAAAAAAATCCACGTTTATTGGTCTTTTGGTCCTTGAAAAAATATTCTTTAAAAAAATCAACTTTTATTGGTCTTTTGGTGCTTGAAAAATATTTTTTTCAAAAATCCACGTTTATTTGTCTTTTGGTGCATGAAAAAATATTCTTTAAAAAATCCACGTTTATTGGTCTTTTAGTCCTTTGAAAAAATATTCTTTAAACAATCCACGTTTATTGGTCTTTTGGTCCTTGAAAAAATATTCTTTAAAAAATCCACGTTTATTGGTCTTTTGGTCCTTGAAAAAATATTCTTTAAAGAATCCACGTTTATTGGTCTTTTGGTCCTTGAAAAAATATTCTTTAAAAAATCCACGTTTATTGGTCTTTTGGTCCTTGAAAAAATATTCTTTAAAGAATCCACGTTTATTGGTCTTTTGGTCCTTGAAAAAATATTCTTTAAAAAATCCACGTTTATTGGTCTTTTGGTCCTTGAAAAAATATTCTTTAAAAAATCCACGTTTATTGGTTTTTTTGGTCCTTGAAAAAATGTTCTTTTAAAAAATCCACGTTTATTGGTCTTTTGGTCCTTGAAAAAATATTCTTTAAAAAATCCAGGTTTATTGGTCTTTTGATCCTTGAAAAAATATTTTTTAAAAAATCAACGTTTATTGTTCTTTTGCTCTTTGAAAAAATATTTTTTTGGTCTTTTGGTCCTTGAAAAAATTTTTTTTTTTTAAAACACACGTTTAACGGTCTTTTGGCCCTTGAAAAAAAATTTCCGTTCAAAAAAATTTAAAAATCGACTGTTCTAACTGCAAATTATTTTCACCCCGGATTTACGCTTTGGACAATCTAAGGGAATATGCGAGTTTTTCCTTACAAATCCCTGCTACATAGTTACAAAACATTTTCAACCGCCTAAGGATATAAAATTAATACTTTTTTAAAAATTTAAAATATTCCTCTTTCTGTTTTTTTTTTTTTTTGCATAGCTGTTAATTGAATATTAAACATACAAAAATAAAATCTTTGCAACTCAAATGTGTGCGGGTCTGGGGGCTTGGCAAAACAAATGCTGAAAAAAGGGAAAATATTTTTTCTTCTGATTTATCTGCAGCATAACAAAGTAATATTTGATAAGATCCCACATCCATAAGCTAAATCCACTTTAAATGTCCCCGGGGGGAAAATACTGCAAAAGGGAAATCTGTTGGTGTGGCAGCACTTAAATTTGAACATAAAATTTATTTTATGTGAATGTTTTTCGCTTTGCGCATACATTTACATTTAATGTTGAGTTTTTATGTGGGATTGTTTTTATTAGTTCCAGGTTTCCGTTTTTTTTTTTTTTTTTGCCATTCATAATCGTCTATTCTGCATTGCCCTAGTCCGTGTTTTGTTGTGTTTTTTTTATCAAGTTGAAAAACAACAAGAATGAATAAAATGTTAAATATCTGTTTTTACACCTTTCCTTTTTTCATGACATTTTTCCATAAACAAAGTTATGGCCCCGGGGCTATTATAAGAACAAAAAGAAGAAGAAGGCAACCCCAACATCCTTTGTAGTTAATGAAAAGTATACAACAATGGAATTGGTGTGTGGGATGATGAAAATGAAAAATATAAAATGAAAATATTAATTTAATAAATTAAAAAACATAATCGTGTATGTAACGAGTTGGAGGGATTTTATTGTGGGATACTTGGTTTTAATTATAGCCATGGGAACGCTTCAAAAGTGTTTTTCTTTTTTTGCTACATTAATATTATATCTTAAAAAAAAGTCCAAGTAAAATTTATCTAAATTGAAGTTTACCAAAGCTAATTTAATTCTAAAAAATATTTGTGAAAAGCAGCCATCGGTCTATGGAAGAGGAATAGCCACTTCCAATAACAAAAAACCTTGGACAAGTACCTAAACTATATTTTGTTAGATCCAATTTTTAGATACAAGTCATTACGTATATTTTGAGGTTTGTTCAGTGTTAAAATCTAATTTTGAAAATGCTATGATTAAAGAAGTACAAATGATATTCCGCGTATACATAATATTCTCCGTCCTGTTTAATACTCATACGCTCCATACGCCATACTCTAGTAAAACAAGTTAAAAAGTATCTGTCGGTTTTGTTGACAGATGTATACCCTCAGCCAATGTATGATTATTTAAAAATATTTTGACATCTGTCATGACTATTCAAATGTTTAACCCCTTATGAAGTAAGTTCCGAAGGAATGGGCCAATATTGGTCATTTCGTATCGGACCTAAATAAATATGACATAAATATTGGTAATTTCCTTCACTTTACATGATAATATGATAATTTTTAGAAAATGTTAACATGTGCGTGAGGTACCAGATATAGTCGA